TGTGGTAACAATATTAGACTGAAACTTCCTGACACACGCATCCTAATGCCACCAGGACACTGGAGGGTACCACTCCCTCTTCCTGAGGATAGTACCGCCACCATATGTCCCAGGATGCTCCTGCTTCTAGGCTTCCATCTTTTGATTAGCCTGTTCGTCCATTCTTCAGTTATGTTAATACAGTAAGTCAGGTTAATGTCACCTCTGTCAAGTCTGCTGTGTACACTCAGGTCCCAGAGTCCTTCTATGGCCAAGAGGTGATGGGAACTCTGCGTTTGGATGATCTTACAGCAGAACTCTGAGAAGGCAATCTTATTTCCCTCACCTGGAAACAACTCCCCACACCTCCGATCAACAGCAGTTTGGACTGGGGACTGAGGCTACAAGGACATTAGAAGTGATTGCCCTGGAACACAAATGAGTCTGCAGAATATTTTCTTGTCATTACCTACCTCTTATGCAACTGGCCCTTCTGGAGTTAGAGCTCCCAATGGCTGCTGTCTGGCTATAAGAAGATCTAGTCACCTACTTGATGGGGTTTTCAAACCATCTATCACAACAGTGGCAATTTTTTCTTTCAGTTTGAAGCATGCTGAATCCTTATCCCTTCTGCTTCCCCTGTGATGAAATGCTGCAGAATGTTCCATTGATTCTCAAAAGGAGTTATAGCTTTTAGCACTGCAGTAATCTGCTTCTGTAGATCAGGGTATTCATTTTTGAGATCGCCATCATGTTGACTACCTTAAGTTTAATTACACCTTTTTGCTATTTTCTTGGTGGGGGAAAAGGATAGTAAAATGAAAAAAAAAAAAGAATATGCCACATATGACATTATATAACTCTATTAGGTGTGCCTCTCCCTCACTGCCTCAAAATTCCTTTAAAACAAACATTAAAATGTGAAAGTAGGAAGGGCTGGTTGAGGAGGGGATAATTGCTAGCACCTACAAGGTGAGTGCCTTCTTATTCCTTTGGCACATGGTGTCACATGGGTTACTGACCATGTATGTATTTCTCTACTGAAGTGGCATTTCTTCTCTAGAAGAAGCATTGTACTACAATCACGCTCTCTGTATGTAAGAACCTTCCATTGGAGCTCATGCTCCTTTATTCAGGGCGAGTTTAGCAATGCCAAGCATTCCACACTCCACTACAAAGGAATTACATACTCCAGTGCTGAGTATCCAGGGGTCACCTTGGGCAAGGCACCTGCTTGTCTTTATGCCTCTCCTGCAAAATGCAAGAGCTGAATAAGATGACTTCTTAAAATCCTTTTCAGCTGTCAATTTTTTATCACTCAATAGCTAGCTTATCTCATCTCTTACTTCCCTTCTTTGTTTTCTATCTACTATCTTTTATTTTGCACTACATCTATTTATCTTTTTCAAGTATTTTTAAGGTTGTTCTAGAGGGGGGGATTTAAGCTAATGAAGCCTAATCTTCACACCCAATTATACATTTCAATGTTGCATTCTTTTCTCAAAGAGAGCTCTCAAATATGTATTCTCAGTGCTCTCCCCCCAAAATCTATATTTGCCCATGGGTAACTTAGGAGAAAAGAAAAACAGAAACAAGAGTATCAAAATGGGATTAAAAAAAGAAAGATCTGAGAAAAAGAATGGAAAGAAATCGAACATTCAGTGCTAGACAGTTTCTCTCAGGTGAGCATCAAGTTGAGCTTAAGCTTCTGAGTTTCATGCAAAGAGGTGAGGGTTACCTGTGCATTGTGTAACTCTTGCTCTCAGAGGAACATCTTGTATTCAAAGACAACGAAATATTTGTTAATGTTGAACTCTATCTCAGCAGAACATTTTAAAGAGGACAAAATCATGCTATGGTCACAAGTAGTATTTTCACAATGATAGAAGCCATTATGGATTTAGGTAATAATGTTTTTTGAAATAAATTTTGTGAAACTCTTACATATCAGGCATTATCCCAAGCAGATATGAGAGACACAGGAAGGACAAGATGTGGGGTTTGTCAATTCAGTGATCTCAAACACAAAAACAGTAACAAATAGATTGATAAATCCATCATGGATGCCTGTACAAAGAGGTGTGAGATCACAAGGTGTGGGAGAGAAGGCTAACCCACATCAGGGAAATGGAGCTCAGTTTTAAAGGTAAAAATATTCTTTACATAATAGTTATTGTTCACAGGGAATGTTCAAGAATCTGCTAACATGTACCTAGACCATTTTCCTGCATACTGTCTGTCTCATTCACATCGCTTATGGTCACAGTCACTGTTTTAAGACAGGATTATATCCATTGGTTCATTCCTTACTGATCCTAAACACCCTCACCTTTCATGAAATGAACTGCTGTATTATTCTCTTGAGGGTTTGAAGGATTTCTGTGTCACTTGTTGCCTTTTTAATGGGTGTGATGGATTTACTAAATTTCTTAGTTGTCTGCAGTGAACCAAAAGTAAGGTACTTGAACATTAAAATAAGAACCGTCAGGGAAAATGGCTTTTGAAAATATACTAATGGACATCCCTGAGTGTTCACATATTTTCAACTTCAAAAATCTTTATTCAAATGAGCAGTTTAAAAAATCTTTTCTGAGCAATTCCCATTTTACAGCAGTGGAATGGAAAATGATTCATCTGGCAGTACCTCCAAAACTTGTAAGCCACCAAATGAGGAAGAGCCTGAATTTTAAGCATCCAATGTTAGGTAATAACATCTTCAGGAGGAAAATACGATCTCAGAATAGCCTTGTTTGGCACAGTGTGTATACTTGGACTGAGCATAACTTTCCTGAACTTGAATCCCCAAAGGGAAGGAAACACTTCTACATCTTTCCTAACAACTGCAGCAAATACTGCAACAAACAGTCTTGCAAGTTTGCTTTCCATTGTGTCTGGTCAAATACCCCAGAACGTCACCTTGCATTATGCATGGCCCTCTGATTCCATGTAAATTTGAAAACACATGAAAAGTTTCCTCCTGCCATCTTAACTTCCATTCTCTTTGAGGGATTGCAACAAGCAAGCAGTTCCTTGCAATTGAGCAGGGTTTTCAATCATGGGGGAAATTTGGAGCTTCTGCAATTGATACTGAAATTATGATGCTGCCATCATACCTCACTCAGCAGGGAATTTGCAAAGGAAAAAAAATAAAGATTCAGTACCACATCAATGTCACACTGCAGCAAAGATAGTCTACTAAGTGACAGGTCAGGAAGCCAGCCATTCTTTATAAGAATCTCATTCAGCTTGAAATTCAGCTCTTAGGAAAAAGTTAAAGTATGGGAATTTAGTGTTCCAGTTTTGATCGATCAGAAATCAGCAACTGAGCTGCAGTACTATAAACTCAGAGCATTTAAAATCAAGAGATTTACTGTATATAGTAACTAAAAATAAGGTTTCGTTCCTCCTCCTTCCAAAGATTTTTTTTAATCATAGTAAACCCTTATTCTTCATTCTTCTTTCCCCACAAAGACATAGGAAAAAAGCTTTTGATATCAAAGAATACATAGCTAGAAATCTCTGATCAAGGTACAATGATTTGTTAAATTAAGCAGAGGGCAGTTGTTCAAAGATAAATACTAAAATAGAAGTTTAATGATTCTTAAGTTACCACCTGTTAGTACACTTCAGCAGTGTGGAGAACAAGTCTGAACAACTCATTAACAACTATCATTTATTGGCTACTTACCATGTGTCAGACATGCTCATGGATTATCTTGTTCAATTCTCACAGCAGCACTTTACAGTAGATATTATTGGCCCTTTTTTAGATAAGGGAACAGGCTTAAAGAAGCCAGCACACTCATCTAAAATCACCTAATTCATTGGTAGTAGCAAAGCAGGAACCTCACACAGACCTGTCACTCATTTTTTGTGGCAAGAATATAAATCTCTTTTTAACTAGCAATGTGTGTCATAGCATTGCTTAATAAACAATTTATAGCAATAATATAAAATTCATACCAAGGATAGATATACACGTATGACTTGTAAAGCAATGGCCTAAGTGTTTTTCATCTAAAAGTTCATATAATCTTCATAGCAACCTAAAAAGGTAGTACACTAAGCCAGCATCACTGACCGAATAAGCAACTTGCCCCAAGGTCAAAAGGTTGCTAAGAATTTAGGTTGGAGCCACACTTCTTATTTAGACAGCCTGGCTTATGAACCTCTGCTCTTGGCCACAGCACTGTATTGCTTGACTGGGAGTTTTACTCTGGACATAGACTAAATTCATGTCCACATTTCTACCAAGTCATATTATACCACATTCTGAAATGGCTCCACTACCTTAGCACAACTTGTGGATGAAAGTGAAAGCTGAAAAAAAATCAATGAAGTCCATGAATCAATATGAGCAACCTAATGTATTCTCGAATTATTCTGCTCAATTAAGTTTCTATCACAGAGTTTAATCCACATATCTGACAAGTAAAAGAGGAATAAGAATGATGGTTATATGAAATTAATCAAAGTGGCAAGTGATTTCCAACAGCTCACACATGCATCTCATAACACATCTAAAAACATCTATTGCGTGTGTGGATGTATTACACAGGTGCTCACAGTGTGTATTTGATACTTTCTGCCCAGAACGTAAACCTAATTGATTATCTGTTTTGAACCATATACAAACATTCATTAACCTTACTGAAAGCACAAAATATCTGATGTCATGAGGCTTCTTTACACCAGCTGTTGAAGGTGAACATTAACTTCTCAACTCGGAACACATTTTTTGCTTTCAAGAATGAAAGCAAATAGTCTTGGTCACCGTGTATATATTTACATTTATATATGCACTTGTATTATATATATATTTGTTTATATATGACTATCAGAACCATTTTTGCTTTATATATACAAATATGTATTTTATATAAAACCTTTTCCTGAATGTTATTGTGTTAAGTTTCTGAGATTTTTATGTTAACTTAAAGTTGTCACATATAAATAAACAGCTAACAGCTTTTCTTTATTGTTTCTTTTTTCTCTCTCTCTCTCTCTTTCTCTCTCTACAGGTATTCCCAGTATTTCCAGTATTGGTAGTAAGTAAAAAATCACCAAACCAAGTCTAGGCTAGCTTTGCTTTGTTGCTCAGTTCTTCAGATCTATTTTCCCAGCATCCATTTCTGATGTAATAGAGCTTTTCTTTGTGAATTGCAATTTTATCTTGGTTTCCTGCACAGATATGGTGAGAACACAGATAAAATAGTTATTTATACACAACCTTTTGGCAGATGTGGCACTCACTACCTCTGCTTTCCAGACTACATTTGATCCATGAAGGCCACCTATACTAAGTAACAATTGCTTAGGTAATCATAGCTCAGTTTGCAAAAATATAAATAGTACTATTTACCCATGCTTAGTGCTCAACAACAAATTGAACTCTTCTAGCACTGGATGTGGATTTCTAACAGAACTGAGAAAAGCAGATAATGAGTATCAGTGAATTCTTTGGAGCATATTCATCGAAACCCAAAGAAAAAAGCCATGAAGCCAGGGAGAGGGAATTTTGTCGATACCCTAAACTCTAAGTTTCGTGGAGGCCTGAAAGAGGCAGGCTATGATCATTCATTTTTCTAAAGGGATGAAGGGAAAAGTCTTCTCCCTCCTAAAATACAGTGGTCCATCTATTTTTGAGCACATAAATCTAAGTTTGGTAGAAAACTTACATATGGAATTTTAATCAGAGAACCAAAAATTCCTGCAAAAACCTCTTGGTAGAAGTCTAAGCAGTTAAAGAGAAATCACTTATCAACCCTCTGTGTAACACTTCTCCAGTATCACTGCAAAGATCATTTTCTGGCTACCAAGAGGAACCTACACTTCAGCTCCTCTTTCCTTGTTAAACAATGACATCCTAACACCAAGCCCGATAGGTTCATTACAAACAGTTCCACTAACTTTTCAGAGCAGAATTTTGCATATTTTTATGTACTACACGCTTTATCTCTGATGGCTAAAGCTTTGAAACAACTGCTGCATAACTGATCAGAAATAAAGTGCTAAGGAAGCTTTGATTATATGCACTGTGACAAGAATTCTCACTGTGCTCTTCACCCCTCAAAGACTTCTGTCATAAGTGCCAGGCCAGCGAGGGTGATCACTGTGTAAATAGCAACAGTTGAAACACTGCCATACCTTCTAAAAAAAGCAATGCATTGATAATTTGGATAAAACACCTCCCTGCTTCTTATAAATGCACAGTCAGATCTTCCAATTTATAAATCAGCCCAGTTTATTTAAGCTCCTGAGTAGAACCAGACACTGACTTATTAAGTACTAGACATGGCCAATGTCATATGTATCCCATAAAGTGCTCCTTTCAGGCCTTGACAAGTGCATTACACATAGATGTTAGAGCAGAAGGGAACCAAACAAAACCAACCCGGGTTGGATTATTGAGGCTGCTCTCACGATCTGGCTTGTCAAAAGCTTCAGAAATGGATGGATGGAAAAGTAGTTCTTTGGCACTGGACTGTGTTTCTTGTTCTGAGTACCAGTTGAGTGTTGCATGGACCCTCTGACTGTACTACTCACCCCACATCTCATTCAGCCACCTCCACCCCATCCCCCATCTCTGAGCATCAGCAGATGTTGACCTTTTATACACGGAATGGGGAAATTCCAATTTTGCTTTGCTTTGTTGTATTTTGAAATCAGTAGTGACCTGAAAGGATGCTTTGTTGTGCCTTTGGAAAATATCTTAATCTTTATTATCAGCAATCTAAGAAAATTTAACTCCTAATACCTGTGAAAAAAATTCTCTGCCTGAAAATGATAGCTTATAGTCAGCCTTTAGTTTGCCTCTGGCTGTTCTGCTTGGAGTGCAATGGGTGTTTCCTCAGATTTCCAGCAAGCAGAATGTAAGAGCTTCCAGGGGCCACCCAACATCACACTTGACTAGCTGCCTGGCTTTTAAGGTAAAGAGGTTTGCAATAAAGCCATCAAACATGATTGTATCTTCTAGGCTGCTTTACAGCATTTGCAAGTTCCTTCTTTGTGGGCTTATAAGGAGCTTTTGTGTGCACTGGGTGGATTCCTTTCCTCTCCAAAGGCCAAGAATTCACATGCAGATGATTCTCTACCTGTCCTAGAGGGCACTGAAAGGGAGGGAGGTTTTCAAGGTGCAAGTCAGAGAAAAGGAAGGTGCTTGGATTTTTCACTGTTTGGGTGTTTTCCAGGACTTTCCCCTTTACCCCAAAGAAGGAATCCATGAATATAATTCCACCAACTCTGTAGAAAGATACCATTAAAATGAACGTATAACACCCATGAGACTCTGACCATCAAAGTGTATCTCAAGGAAAATAAATGATGCATATTATCGATATAAATTATTGATGTATGTAACCATATGTTTACATACATATGCTGTATACACAATGACTAAAGGTTTTAGCCCTAATAGATTTCAATATAGATTTCAAATTCTCAGTGCCTGTACTAAGGTTCAAATGCATGGACAGAATGGACATCCTTTCCGATCATCTGCTAAAAATACTTTTGAAACAAACTTCCCATTAAGACCATTTGTATCTGCTGTTGTCTATCTATTAGGAAATAGGTTTTCCAAATATCCCAAGGGTACTTGATGTGCTTTGACCATGGCTGAAAAAAAACTGGTGATATTGTCGGCAATTAATGAATCCCAAAATACATTTATAGTCATTTAAGCTTTATGATTTACCTTTTTACTTTACCTGATGTGTTAACAATTCATTTAGGTTTCAGTTTATTATAAAGCACACTTACAATTCACAATTTTATTCAAGTGATCATTTGTTGATGCTGATCCAAATTAATAGTTGGCTTGTTGTGGGTGTTATTTTGTTAAAGCAATAAGCTAATCATTACCTTCTAACATTTATCATCTGATTCTTAGTCCTGTCCTGCGAAGCAAATGATTTCACTAATTATGTTAAATAATATAAGTAACACTATTAGACCAGCAAGAATTGTCCTAATGTGCAATAGCTTTGTGTGGGTGATTACCACTTACAAAAGCACATGATAGATGAGTCAGAGGTTAAAGGTAAACCATTCGTGAAATGAAAGGTCACATCAAGAAAGACCATGTTTTAAAGCTTGAAATTTTTAAATAAACAGAAATATGCCTTGAAATATCAACAAAACAAAAGAGTGATGTCAACATTTTGTGACCCTGACTAGAGATTATGCCTTAAATAACTATCAAATGACTGACACTATGAAATATAAAGTATAGAATATTGATGGAGTTGCTTGTCAATTCCTTCCCCCAACCCGCCAATTATTCAATTTGAAACAATTCACTTAAGGGAACTATCTCATTTTCCTGTTTTCTCTTATAATGAGCATTGCTTCATCACAGAGTTAAAAATTCATCTGTAATCTGATTTAATTGGCAGGACTATCAAACAAGGGAAGTGCTACCTGCAGGGATCCATCAGCCTGTTGAGAAAGCCCAGAGATGTTTTCATACTTGAAAACATTTCATGCCAGTTGGAGACCTTGTAAAAGTTGTTTTCTTTACAGCATCCAAAATATTTTTGTGTAGTACCGATTTATTGTAGAAATCTGGATGGTGAGGAAAATTACAAGGTTAATCATTTTCTTGCCCAAGGGTTATTAAGAATCATGTTCCTGCTATCCAGGGAGCTGTATTGTGCATTTGCTTTTTCCCCCTTTGCTATAATACTTCTAAATCTCCCAAATAAAAGTTTCATTTGAATTGGCCTTTAACTAATTAGGTTTTATATAATGAGGGAAAAAATTATCAGGCTAGTATAGCAATATAGCAAATTGCATAGTGTGCTGCATTAATTTTGAACTGTTTGCTGATGTTCTAGAAGGAAAACTAAGGTCCCAGGTGAAATGCCTTCGGGACTGTAATATCATATACCTGGTATTCTCATAACAGATCCATTTCATATTTGTGTAACTAGCATTCCACATTCATGAAACCTTTGTGTTTATCCTAAAATTGAATGAACATTAGGATATAGCTGCCTCTTTAATCCTAAGAAACAAATCAAATACATCAGTGAAGGAGAAAGGGAGGCTCTCCTATTTAAGAAAGAAGGCTGAGAGGTTTACCAATCTTTATTGACAATTGCCCATTTTAAGCAAATTGAACTTTTTATATATTAACCTTTTCCCAAGAAAATTTAGAATGTCAAGCCACTTTTTAAGTGTGAGCTGATATTTCTACCTTTGCTAGTTATCTTTGTGGGTGAGGACATTTCTAGTTTAAACAAAGATTTGCCAAGATTTCCAAAAGGTCCTATAATGAAACTTCAAACAGGTTAACTGTGAATTCCCACACTGTAATAGTCACTTACAGGGTGTGAGTATCAGTTCAAGTCTTCTTAAAGTACCAATAGACAGCTGACCAATTAACCACTCCACTTCTCAGGAAAAGTTAGGCAGAAATATTCTCTTGGAATTGTAAATTGATGTCTCCATGTGCCTACAGAATTCTATTTTAAATATGGTGAATCCAAGGTTCACAGTGGTCAAGTAACTCACCCAATGTAATATAGTCAGTAATGTCTATTTCACTTCAAAGGCAAACATGACCTTACACCAAGTTGAAGCATTTAGGAAAGAAAAATTCTAGATTTGTTGACCCTTACTCCACTACACTGTGCCTTAGAAGACCTGTTGATTCCTGAATTTGACTCACTCTGTACAGGAAACCAGAGTCCTGGAGAAAAATAGAAATCCATTTTCTGATACTTCACTGTGCTGTCAACAGAAGAACTCACAAGCATGGTGTCTGAGGACATGGGATGGGGGACTGTGACCTTTCTCCCATCACAATATGCCCTTCTTCTACCACCAAACATCCCCAATGTACTGAAGAAGAGGGGACATATATAAATATAAATATATGCATACACTATAGAACATGAAGCAGTTCATGAAATTAGTTATGCAAATTTTGAAACATGCTTATACATATTATGTGACAGTGTAAGATTCTCTGTGCCATCTCAAGGATAGACTTGTCACTGTCACGTTAAACTTATTTCCTTCCCCCGCCTCGCCCAAGTTAATG